TTACTTTCTCTTATTATCAAAAAAAATTTGATAAAAAATCAATTTTATAGAAGATTTAATACATACTGTAATTTCGATCATTTTATTCGATTTATATCGTTACAAAAATAAATTATTAATAATTAAAGGAAATTATCTTTATTCGTTAGAATTTATAATTCTACAAAATTAGTTTAAAAATAAATTGTTGAATTTGGGAATAATTGTTGTGCAAATAAAAAAAGGAAATTTTCTACAGCATGCGCCGCTATCTTCTTTAAATTGGCTCAGATTCAAAATGGTGTTGTTCTATTTTATCTGATTCAGTCATGCGTAAATTTAACGATGAACAAATTTTTCAATTGGTTATCTATATAACTAAAAATCCTTCAAGATAGGCGAGATCATAGATCGTTTCCAGTAATATTTATATAAATTGATTCTTTCGATGAAATTAAAATTTTTTAAAGACGATTATTAGAAAATCAAATTAAACTTAATCAAATAGGCAAGAAAATCAAGTCAAACCATTAAACATATTAGTTTTATATTTAGCAATATAAAATGAAATATGTTACTTTTCGCGGCTGAAGGCCATTAAACGTTGGAACGTATTAGTTTTCGTGGTGTAAAAAGAAACATACTACTTTTCGTCACAAAATGCTCAAACATATTATTATCCGTGATATAAAGTACAATGTGCTACTTTTTAAAAGTCAAAACTCAAATGTATTGATTTTTGCGGCGAGAACATAACGTTCTTCAATGCAACGACGTCATAAGTGGAGTTTTTCGTAGGACAAATGAAACGTGTTACTCTTTGTAGCAGGTGTCGATATATAATTGATGTTTTTATACATACAATTAAACAGAAGCTTTTGAAGCAAATAACTTTTTAAAATCTAGCATTTCAATAACTGCTCAATTTACAGTTTTCTATTATAAAAATACTTAACTATAATATATTGTAATGCACTTTCTATAAATATTTAAACTTCTGAAAGAATCATAAAGATATTGCTTTGTGTGAGTTATAAATATAAATAGAATGGATTTTCTTCAAGCAGACCAAAGCAACTAAATTTATAATACAAAATTAAAAAAAAAAGCATTGTTTTATATTATAAAATTTTGTTTAAAAAAAATGAATGTGTTGTTAAAATAAATTGACCTACTTTTTACAGCTGTTGTATGAAATGCAACAAGATGCGTTGGAGAATTAGGATTTTAATTTACTGTTAACAGTTTTTCTACTATTATTCTGCTATTTTCACAAAGACAGTTTTTTGTATTTCGTGTTTACTAAATATGCCACACCTGGATTTTAAAAAAACTAACAATGCTAACATATAATTGCAATGAAAACATAAAAATTGAATTAGAAATGCAAAGTAACCTTATAAGAGAATTAAACATCGAGTGCTGTCACGCAATTCCCCGATCACCTCATCTATCTAGATAATTAATTAATCCATAGAAATAACTTCATAAATAACTTTGTTATTAGCTTCGTCAGTCGTAATGAAAAGTGCAATTCAAAGAAATATAAAATTGATTCTTGAATTATCAATTTTATTTCTAGATAATCGATACTGTTGACCCTCTTACCATAGAAATCTATGCCTTCGAATTCATTGTTCAGTTTTAATTTCGACATATATACTCGAAAATAATAAATTAATAAATAGTAAATAAGAAAGAAAGAGAGCTTAATATTTTTAAAATCACAAAAGACTCAATTAATAAGAGACAAAAGAAAAATTTAAAAAATCTGTATTTTATTTGAAAATATATTAAAAATCTATAATATTTCTATCAATACGAAAGACTAAAATTTATACATAAAGAAAATTTACATTAATTTCTTGTATGCTTTATTTAAATACTTTATCCGTTTTTTAAATAAATTTTGGCTAAACAAACCAACAAATGACACCCTTATATAGCATCTGTGATATCTGCCGACATAATTTCTAGCATTCTTCTAAATCTTAAACTATAAAAATTTTCCTTTCTTTTTTTCCAATAACACTGTTCCAGATGAAACCAAATCTAATTTCTTTAGCAGATCAATAAGCCCATTCTCAAAGCCATTATTCCCTTTTATTAATTCATGAAAATATAATTCTCACAAGAAACGCCAATGAAGCCGGAAACGAAGTGGTACCATTATATAACAGATAAAAGTCCATTTTACAAATTAGAATTTTTTTTTTATAAAACCCGCGCTTAAGTCGCTAAACTGATGTTACACCACAGCACCGTGGCGCTTGAAAGCAGGTCAACGACATCATGCAACCTCGAGTGCAGTTACTACATTCCAATTCGCTGGTCGATCGACAAATAGCTCCAATCAGCCTTGTCAATGTTCACCTGCAGACGCCTGCATTCGTCCTGCTAATTCTCTTATCGTTTACACCGTACCCTTTACAAACCTTCTTCCATAAAAAAATTCTAGCACCAAATAAATCACGTTTTTTCATCTTGACAACCCTTCCTTCTTCTCGACATGAAGGAGCACACCTTATTTTAAAAATACTTAAAATATTTGTGCACCACGTGTATCCGCTTCTTTCTAACAATCACTCCGGTTTCACTAATTGTAAATATACTCAAATATCTAAAACAAATTTTATTATTAAGAATTTCGAGAATCTTCTCAATTACGATTCAAAAATAATCACCCTCTGAACGAGCCCGATTTGCTTATTCGCGGCACGCTAAATCTTTCACCCCCGTGAGCTTTCACTACTGCAAAGTCTTCACGGTAACGGTAGATACGGTAAACTGCGACGAGAGCGATAGTCAGAGGTGCTGCACGGACTGACTCTACATAGTCTTTGCGACCGTGTGCGCCTTGTGGCTGGGTCGCCGTTTCTCTGGTAATGCCATTTTACGACTCGTCCGTATGCGGGCGCCACTGAGGATGGTCGGACGACACCCCCGTTACTATATCGATCCGAGGGGTGCTCCGTTCTCAGCTCCGCTCCGCTCCGCTGTGTCCTCCTCCGCAAACCACCCGGAGCGCGACCCACACGACAACGCCAGGCCACTGCACCCTGACGGTAACGTGTTCTACCAGTTGTACATGTAGTGTATAAGAATAACCATCTGATCGTCGAGGGTTGAATCACTGAACTTACACACACAATCGCAGAAACAAGCAAAATCGGTTCTTGATTTACATCACACATATTAGATGAAAATAGGATATAAATACAAAAAGAAAAAGTCAGAATATAAACATTTCAATTTTTTCTTTTTGCATTTATATATATTTTTACTTAATATGATCTTTTTGATATAGCCAACTAATTAATCTGTTATATAATAGATGTGACAAGTCAATAGAAATATATATGATTAATATAGCTAATTAATACAAATTAACTTTTCTATTTATGGTTAGATAATATAGAAAATTCTAAGTTTTCTTATTTGTACAACAGTAAAAAATTATAGATACTTATTTGGTGTGGAAATATTATAAATCTTGTACTGATATAATAATACGTATAACATACTTCTCTTATCAAACTCTTAATATGTCATCCAGTTGATCCTTTAATTATCCTTAGCATTACGTTTGGCATGAGACCAATATTGATTTCTTTTCAAAACCAATTCGTTTTTATTCACCTCAGGATCGTATAAATGTCCCATATGTTATAAACAGGGGGAATTGCAGATAAAAAGAATATTACTCTTATCTCAAGCAATATCGATCCATGACATATTCTTTGTACTACATATATCCGACTATTGTAGAATATTACTGTTTGGCGAATACAGTACTTACATAGTTTTCTGATTGCAAGCAACGATAAATTTTGTATAGATTGTTACTTCCATAATTCAAACAAAGAATTATGTGCAAATCGCAACATTTTCAATTGATAATTCATTTCGCGTTCTATGAATATTTTATACAATGTCATTAACGTATAGAAAAAATAATTTTACTAACAATAAGTAACTTTGCATACTTTTTGATAATATCAATAAAAATAAAATGCATTAAATAAAAATAATGATGTTAAAAACAGTTTATGAAAAATCAAGTTATTTTCTGCAGTTTCATTCGGCACACATACACTGCAAATCTAGGTCATTTATGTAGGTCACGCAGGGTGCGTGCGCGCCCCCTTCGCTTTTAGTCTGCTGAGACCTTCGGTTTTGCAGTCAACTCTGAAGGTTACTGCAGATATTACTTTGTACTTATTATTTTTTATATTCCGCTATTTTCATTTATTTTAAGTTGCGCTTCTGATCTTGAAATTGACATTCTTTTTAATTTATACAATTTTGATAAATTTTGATAAATTTTGATAAATTTAAGTGTCAAATTTTGTAGACGTGTTTCATTAAAAAAATTTAAAATCATTCAATTATTTCGCAGATAAAGAAAGTGTAAAAAATCCGGGACACCCTATGGATATATATAGAGTGACAGCTTCGATCTCGAAATCGTAGTTCATAAATAAATGATCGGCGAACTATACGAAGCGTGACGGCAGCTCCTTTCATCGCGGTCACGTGGCACAAAAATAAAATTTAAGAGCATTGTGCTTGCAAAGATAGAACGCGCATGCTCGCGATCAATTAGCACACGTTTTTACAAACGTTTGTCTATAATACGATTTTAAAAATAAATAGCAGTTTAATAGAAATACAATATTATGATTGTTAAATAAAATAACTTTTATACATTATTGATAGTATCGATTTGTTTCTACTTCGTACTTATAGAATATTCTCATCTTTATCAGTAAATATTTATTCACATATTAAATATTTCAACCTCAATAATCTCTTAAAATGTAAGACATTTATTGCAAATCACAATTGTGACAACTTTCAAGAATCGAAAGACACACTTCTTACTTCAGTAAAAATTTTCAGCATTATTTTAGCATTCAGTCTCTTTGCCTCGAGAATAGATCCGTTGTCTGTGATATTATGTGTAAATGGCTCCGTTAACTTATTATAATTATAAAATATTATAAAAGTGTTTGATTTACCCTTCTTCGTCCGAAAGGCTTGTAATGCTCCCGTTTCGTTGGGCGTCGTAGATGTGCCATCTTGAAAGATCAAAGTTGGTGTATAGAAAATCGAGGTGAACTAAAGATATTGTGATGCTCGTTGTTACCGAAGAGAAGAAGGTATCTGTCACGCGCGTCCACAGTCGACTGGAGCAGTTTTCGTCAGCTTCGCGAGTCCGTCAACTTCCGACACGAGATCCGAGTTCTAGTTCGGAGCCGCATTTATCACGACCTACCGTTTGTCTTCATTTAATTTGTTCGACACAAATACACGACACATATATACGTCCATTCCATGTAGAATAGATGCATTGAGACAAAACCGTCCGTCGATTTAGACACTTGATCAAAGATTCAATAAACGAAGTTATCACATTTCGCAATAATTATATAATAAAAACGACTAACAGTTTTTTTTATTAGCAATTAGTAAAAGATTTGTAGTCGTTAGAATTGTTTACTAGATTCTGCAAAAATATTCTCTGTATATATATGATATACATTTAACTCTGTAATAAAAGAGTTATTTTCATTGGAATATATATAAACAATTCTTTTCTATATCTGCATTCACGTTTTTTAAGTAGTGTATAGTCCAAATTTATGATATTGTTTAATCTGAATAGATTCTAGGTTGTTCAAACTGTTTTTATTTCGCACTAAATTTTATTTTTACAAATGTCTTCGTTTTCAAACTTTTTGCTTCAAGACAATCCAGCCAATCATCTATAAAGTTGTCTAATAATACAAATAACGTAACTGTATATTTGATAATTTTACGAAGTGATGTTATATATTTTTTTTAGAAAAGGTGATCTCTAGTGCCTTCTTAAAAATTAGAAACTGCTCCTTTAGAATCGTCCGATCTTTGGATTGATGCCGACAAGTTAGTGTAACAGTCTGTGACATCCTCTCTCTTCAAGAATATATCAGATATATAAATCTTTGGCCCTGACCTTGACTCATCGAAATCAATTTTTAACATCGAAAATAGAAAGAAACTAAAACAGTGATAAATTCTGCAATTATTAAAAAAAAATGCATTTTGAATTACACATATCGATCAAAACTCTTATCTTTAATTTTGTGAGATGCAAAATATAAAATTAAAATAAATTAAAGTACGACACTGGTAATGATGTGTTTCAAATGAGTTACATTTAATAACGTAGAAACTTTGTTAAATTTTAAGATTATATTGCTAAATAAAGATCTGTTAAAAATAATTATGATTTCATAATAAATTACATATTAGTTTATAATAATTTTTAAAGATAGAAAAAATCTGGCTGTTAAATCATGGTAATTCAATGAGTAATTTTGAGAAATCTCAATAAACGCGGGTGATTAATCACTGTATTCTGTACACTTGCGCAAGGTCTTCGATCAATCCATCCGTCATTAAACTACTTTTTAATAATACGCGACATGTGAAATTTCTCACTCCACTATATTAACATCAAATCGATCACTTTGTTACCCAGCGGTACAAATGTCATATGTTCGTTTCCCAGAGGGCTCTAAAACTTCCATCACAAACTTCTATTCGAGTAATCACATCAATGGAAAACCGGTTTGTAATGTTCAAAAAACGTATTATTTTTTAGTTATAGATCCGATCTATCGACTAATGATTTTTTAGGATCCGACACGAGACAAGCTTAGTATGGATCTGCTTGTAATACTGGTGAGTCGAGGAGCTTTTAGAACGCATCGCGACCTCCTCCGCTATAAATAAAACGGCCGCCACACCGAAAATCTCTGCCAGCGAGACTGGTAACGTCGATTCGCCGTAATTTTCCTTGTAGAACCTCGTAAAATTTTCCAGCTGACGGAAGTTAGTCGAAATAAATTGTGTAGCTAGCTTCTTCGGATGTTGAACGTATTGATTTGCATGCCAAGAAACATCCTTGATGTCTTCTCAATGTATGTTTTTAATTTTTTCCGTGTCTCATCTTCTGTCAAATATATAATAATATAAATACTAAAATTTTTGTGACTCTCTTCACGATTTATTTCTTTATTCTAAATGGCCATTTTTGCTTTAAATTTTCATGAAGACTTCTATTTTTAACAGCTTATTTTAGAGTTTCGTTATTATTTTTGTGCTATTAAAATTGTATTTCCTAGAAGTGTTTTGAATACTCTATTGCCAGTTGGCTCGTCTAATCATTTATATAAATTTATATAAAACTCGCTAAGATTAATACAATAAATTTTGCATGTATATTCGAAGACACTTATTTTTAAAAATAAAATTTTATAATTTTAAGATAAATATTTTTTTATTTTAAATTCTAAAATTGTAACTTCTCTTCTTTCCAAATAGCAGACGCACGTCATTTACATTTTTTAATATTTGTTTGTTTTTCTGTTACTTGTTTAAAAAGAGAATTCTTATTACACTGAAGACAAATTATAAATATATTCAGTATAATTAGATAAAAATTTACTTTTAGATTTTAATGTCAATATAATGATGAATCACAGTGCAAAATCAAAATATGTCATAATAACATGAAAATGAAAAGGATATCTTCAATAAATTTGTAATTATTGACTTTTATAACACTGTCAATTTTGTCATTTTACATTATTAGTACGGACATGCTTATATATTTGACGTCAGAATGGCGTGTGTTTGCTAACTGGGTCATCAAAACATGAGCAATTAAAAAAGTAATACTAAAAAAATGATATGAACAATATAAAAATTTTGTTGAATATGCAGCATTGACCATATAGTATAAAGCATTCTCACAAAATTGCCATAAATATTCTATATTGAAAGAAAAGTAAAATAAAAAACAGTTTTATTGACAAATGATATTTATTTTTATAACAATTTTAGAAATATTTTGTTAATTATCCTTTGGCGTTTATTATCTCCTTTTTCAAAAAATGCAATAAATTTGAAATTTTTCATACTTTTTTATAGTCTATAGATTATATATTTTTTCGTAATTAATTAGAAAGATTACATAAAATGTGATCAAGATTTTTTCTCTGTGTAAGTAGATAAACTTGCTACATTTTTTCTGTCTTTCTTCTTTTCTTCTTATAATCAAATGCTTAATTATTTATCTATTTTATTTTAAGTTGAAAAGATGTAATTAAACTTTGGTTAATCAATACATGATTATCACGATAAGTTCGAAATGACGTTATTTTGACTTTATCAAAACACTCGATTATGTGTTACTTGTAGAAAAATTAATAGAAAATTAAAAAATAAACACAAGATAACACTGAACTAGACATAACAAGATAATGAACTTGTCTTTTTCAAAGACCTTAAAATATTATCTTAGTCAGGTAACCAAATAATATTCAAGATAACTGCAGTAGCGATGTATGCTGCGCCAGCAGCTACAATAGTATACTGTTTAACCAGACCTTCAGTACTAACGAAGAGATGTGCTACCTGCTGTTTTATCGACGGATGTTGATACAGTTCTCATCTGAAAACATTTTGTACATTCTTGTCAGATGTCTGCACCATATATATAACTTTACATCAATTTCAAATTATTTACATCAGTAGTAAAAATATTAAAAACAAAATCGCATTTTTCAGTAAATATGTCATCATTGTTTAAGCAAATATCTTTTAATTAGCTCAATTAAAAGATAAAAAGTTTGATTAGTTAACTAATCAAATCATATTTATTTATGAATAATTCTTTAAAATAATTTTTTAAATTATTTTGAAAATAAAAAATCATATTTATATTTATTAGTAGATAAAATAAATGTATATAAAATACAAGTTTTTTGGAAAATGATCAAGATATTTTGGAATAATCAAGAAAGATAAGAAGCGATTGTGTCTTTGTTTATGCCATGCAACTTTACGAGGTCATTTCTCTCAAGTGCAGCGACAAAAAATACGTTCGTTCATCAATATATCATAAATTCTTGCAAATACAATTGAAAATTCTTCTACTCCTTAAAACCTCATAAATATACCTAAGACATTATCTCTTTTTAAAACACAAACAAATCATCAAAGTTTTTTCTAGAACTGCTTTTTACATCTTTTCGGACAGACTGTTTCTGCATTGTGTTGTTTGAATAATGGACTCTGTCATCGAACAGAACGTCTCTCTTCAGGAACAATCGATGTCGCGCTAAATATACAGAGTCGAAAATCTTTGCTTAACAGCCGGATGAACGACGCGCGCCTCTCTTTAGGCGTTGTTATATTTCCCGCTTTTATTATTCAGCGTCCCGGCATTTCCGCTGGTATTTTCGTTGCCGTACCAGCCAGACCAGCCGCATCGTATGCACACATTAATAAGTGAGACTTCGGATATTATTGCACGATAAGATTTACTAGCAATCCGGTTCTTGTACTACGCGAGCGTAATGGAATGTTCATGAAGAACATCTGAGAAGATATTGCCATGACAAAAGCAGTCAAAATAAAATTCGCATTCTTCTTTTTGATATAACCAAATTATTGTTCTCTCTATTTGCGCGAAGTAAATAACAGAGAAATTCAAAGATTTTTAAAGAGAGATAGCCGTTCCTATATACATAACGTAAAATATGTAATAAACATAAATACATCGCTCATTTGCTAATAACGATGCAATTTAAAAAACAAAGTTCTCCTGAAATTGAGTTTGAATAAAATTTATAAATCACGAAAATATTACAAATAATATTAATTTTAAAATTGTGTTGTATAAAAACTGATTGTAGAGAAATTAAAATATTTTTTTGAAACATATTTCTCCTTTTTTATGTTTCTTTCTATTTCCGCAGACAACTCCAACATTTTTAAATTATATTGTTATAGTGATAAAATAAATGATAAAATAAATACGCAAAGACAAAATCTTCCATAAAAAATTTTTTGTTATTGATTTTATTTCTAGCAACGTTCGCAAATTCAAAATATAATAGCAATTTGTGAATTATGCTGTTGTTATAGCAAACAAGTGATATAACATATGAATACATAAAATAAAGGAAAAACTGGCAAGATTGAGAACAATTTTTATTGATTTCATATCTATCAACGTTTGTGAGTTCAAGAGAAAGGAACTACAACTAACGAGCTCGTTCATCTTCACTGCGTATGCTAGTCGGTCGCGTTGTTAGCGCGCACCTGCACCTGCTTTGCTTCTCTTTCACGGTTGCATCATCGTCGCCGTCGCTTCCGGAAATATAGGCCGCTTTGACACGTTGCTCAAGGCAGATTTAGAATTCTGTCTGGCCCTATACGCGTTTCGCGCGTGTTACGAGTGGACTCTTTTTAGTTTTTCCAGGGCGGCACACGAGATCAGGCACCTCGCGCGCTTTCGTGACACTCGCAGCTGCAGCAGCACGCGCGCGAGAAAAAGGTCGAGCCGCAAATTGTTCTCTATTGCGGCAAATTAACGGACGATCGCTATCGAAAACCTGAAATTATTCCTTACCCGATCGCGTGCTTCTGGCGACCGATAATATGCGAATGATTTTAAGTTTTCTAGTTCGAGAAAAAAAACAATAACTAAAGTCATGTTCGTCTATTATTTTAACGTTTTATTATTCCAAATTGTAGAAATATAAGTACATATCGCGCCGTGTTGATAGAAAAGTAACGTAAGTCAAGAAATAACATTAAGATTGCAGTTACAGTGTTTGAATTTGGAAAATGTATAACACGGTTTTAAAGAATACATATAACTGAAAGTATAACATGGAAAGAAAATGAAATTATGAATATTCAAATTATTTTAATTAAAGTATTGTTTCAATTCAGAATTTTTAAAATGGTTTACTTGACAGTATCGAGCAAAAATATTGACTATGAATTCACATTCAAATATTCAAAACTATTTATATTCATATTAAATAAATAGGCATTATATCGAATATATCGAATAATTAATTTCTTAATTAAAAAATTTCTCGAAAATTAAATAAAATTATAATACAATCCTAATTTTTTGTAATATAACTTACAAACAAAAAGTCATTTTTAACAATTTATGTAGGGAAGGTTCGGTTTGTTTACAATACAGATTACAAATAAAATGTCAATAAAAATTCGTCAATCACCCCTAATTTTTAAAAAAGTTTGATGTGTATAATTTATTATTTAAAAATATAGAATTAAATGGAATTTGAAGATTGAGAGATTGTATAAAATTATATGAATCAAGATAAGTATTTACGTTTATCATTTTGATTAATGAAATATAATACAATCTCATTAATATAGTGACTTTTATGTGAGAATTTGATTGTTTAATTTTTTATATACTGTACGGCTATATAAATTTGACTATATAGATAAAAATGGAGAGTAAACAAGTTAAAAAATATTTGGTCGATATCGAATAGTGATAAACTTTTCAATAGGAGATGTTTACATCTCCTATTGAAAAGTTGCTAATTATGTCATTTTTGAACGCAGAGTAATAAGGAATATGTATAACTCCATATTTTATTCATATATATTAGTAACTGCGTGCCTATTTCTTCATATTGCGTGCTTTAATAATTTGGGTGTGTTTTTTGAAAAATTGAGTCATAAACTAGTTGTTAGAACGTGACGTTTCTTCGCATTTAAAATCTTACA